GTCATGGCCTGGCAGGGGGAAGCCCCCTCCGTGTACTTAGTTCAGGATCCCCGAAGGCAGGGCTTTATCCCTCTCAGGTGGAGAGGGGTTCCTGAAGGTGGGTGTCTCCTCTCGGATTGGGCTCCCTGGGCCAGGCCGGGGCCAGGCCTGTGCTCAGAGCGCCGAGACAATGAAGGGAACCCTCCACGTCACGTGTTGCCACGTCTCTGCCACCCCAAAGGAGACGGGTGCAGGGTGCTGCTGGCAGGAGAGGGTGCCCTGGCTCTCGTGGGCAGACAGCTCTCTGGGGTCAGGTTTCCAGCCCTTTATTTAAAGCCCCACTGTGGCTCCCGGCGGACGGGCAGGGGCAGCCGCCGCCTGCGTGACCAGGATGAGAAATTGCAATCCCGACTCGGGCCTGCGTGCCTATGGCAACTGGCGTCGTGGCCTTGGAGACTAATCTCCAGGCTGCCAGCCAGCAGGGGCCTCTCCGGGAGGGGTGGTGCTCCCGGCCGAGGCCCTTGGCCGAGGACCGGGACCACCTCCTGTCCCCACGGCAGAGGGGCATCTGGCCTGGCAGTGGGCTCCTGGCCAGGCTTAAAGCACACCGGTTCCCACGGCCACAGCCCAGCCACCCTCCCTCCCACCTCATGGCCACACAGACACACACACAGCAACACCATCACACTTCACCCTACACCGCACTGGGACAGACAGATCCCTAGGTGCTCCTGCCCATGACAGAGTCCCAGGCTGGGAGGAGATAGGGCAGTTAGGTTATGAGGGGGGGAAAAAAAAAAAAAAAAAAGATTAAAACACAGAGTGACACATCTTGATTTGAGTGGTGGTTACATGGGTGTATACACAGGTTAAAAAACTCATTATGCTTGGACCCTCCAGACTTAAGCTTTTTACTGTAAATAGATTATACGTCTGTCAAAGATAAAATAATAATAGTAATTAAAATAATAATAATAAGACACACACAAGAAGCACGGGGTGACAAGGCGGAATGGCAGGGGAGGCGCCTTGGAGGAGCTGACACCCAAGCCGAGAGGAGTGTGATGTCATGGGGGAGAAGTCCGCAGGGGAGGAGCAGGGCCAGGGAATGGTGCCCAAACATTGCTCATCTGCCATGGGACGGCTGCCCCGCCCCCTGCAGGGCCCACCTCCCTAGAAGTAAGTGCTGAGCACACGCACCCAGCCCCGTCTGAAGGAGGGCCACGGGGCTCAGGCAGGTTGGTGACTGGGGCGGGTCGCTGGGTCTGGCTATGCACAGCTCAATGGTCCAGGGCAGGAAGTGGTGGGCAAAGAGACAGGCCGGCACCAGGGCTACGCCCGGGACCTCGGGAGAGATCATTCAGGGGACAAGAACGACCAAAAGGATTGGAGCAGGGGCAAGACAGGGCCACTGTAAGGGGTTCCGGCCGGATAGGACAAACGACGGGGGCAGGGCTCGATAAGGGAACTGGTCCTCATCAAGCCTCTGCAATGGCCTGGGCCGGAGATGGTCAGGTCAGAGGCAGATGCTGGGAGCGGAATGGAGAGAAGAACTTTCAAATGGATGGGGAGCCCTAAGCAGTTCTGGTTCCAATGATGGAGTGGAGGATGGGGTCCCCAGGGAACAGAGGGGAGGAGGCTGTCAGATCCCTAGGGCCATCTGTGGGTGTCAGAGGCTGGGGGTGTCGAGGGGACTGAGGACAAGGGAGAGCTGAAGAGTCAGGGGAGGGGAGAAGGATGGGTTCTGGAGGTGGGAGATCGGAGGCCAGGAGGCTGGCCAAGGAACCCAGAGGAACCCAAGGGCTGGGGAGACAGATGAGGGAGCAGGGGAGCTGTGCAGAGGCTGAGGAGTGGGAGGGGGTGGAGGCCGTGGGATTGGGGGGAGAAAGGATGTAGAGAAAGAAGTGGGGTATGGAGGGCTCACAAGGGCTTCATTCTTTTTATTTTCTTGATTTTTACAGAGAGGAAGGGAGAGGGATAGAGAGCTAGAAACATCGATGAGAGAGAAGCATCGACCAGCTGCCTACTGCACACCCCTCACTGGGGTTGTGCCCACAATCAATGCACATGCCCTTACCTGGAATCGAACATGGGACCCTTCAGTCCGCAGACCGATGCTCTACCCACTGAGCTGTACTGATTTCAGCAAGAGCTTCATTCTTTATGAGGAGGAAACACGAACCAATGGGGTGGACAGAGGAGACAGTCTCTCAGCGGGAGGCCGGCTCCCAGATGGGTCACAAGGCCTCTGCACTCAAGACACAGGCCCAAAAGCTGAGCCAAAAGCCCAGGCGCTCTGCCAACCTAGGACAGCGAAGGGTCCCCACAGATAGCTCATGTCCCCAGTGAGGTGTAGGCAGGATGGCAGCGGCTGGACCCAGAGGCCACCCCGGGCAGGCGAGGGAGGCAGTGGTCTCACCGGCCTCCATAAAGGTGTGCGCACCTGGGCCTGGGGGCAGGGATTTCCACGGCCGTGCCCAGCACCAGCTCCATCAGTCCATGCACACCTGCTGGGTGGATGAGCGCACGGCTAACGCGATCGGGAGGCCTGAAGCGGGGGCGGTGCGAAAACGCTCAGCCAAGCATGACGCCCTTGGCACCCGAGGCCCTCCCTGGCACTTCCAAGTCCACCACACCCACAGCTGGTCAGCCTGAGGGGAACCAGCTGGGTGTCGGGGTCAACCAAAGCTGGGTGGGGAACTCTCCGTGCCTCAGTTTCCTCAAGAGCGAAACAGTGCCGCCACCAGTTCTGCTGCTGTGCCCCGAAGCGCCTGGCATGGGGCCCCGAGATCACAGGTGCCCTTTAAAGAAACGCAGTGATGATTGCCTGGCGCTGACATCACCTGCCGGGCTCCTGTCCTCCCCAGTGAGCTCACTGCGTCTCCTCAGCGCCAGCGTCTGACGGGCAGCACAATGACACTGCTGTTCCCCCACAAGCCGGGACCTGGGTGGGAAACGCAGGCCTGGCGCTCAGCTGGGTGCAGGGGACCCTGGCACCCCCCCCCCCCGGGTCCTGGGTGACCCCCCGCAGCTCACCGGCACAGGGGAAACCGGTGCTGATTCTTAAGCATCTGCAGTGCTTGGGGGCCGGGTGTCAGGAGACAGTAGGAAGCAGCCAGCCCTGGGTGGTGCCAGGCCCTGGGGTGATGGCGTCCCCAGAGAGCCCCCTTGCCAGGCGGAAACAGGCCTCATAAGGATGAGAAATGCAGATGAGGCAGCATGCATCAGGCCCTTTCTTGTCAGGAAGAGGCTGGGCAGAGCAGGGCTCGTCCCTCGGGGCTGATCTAATCCTGGCAACCGGGCCCCACTCCCGAGCTGGCGTGCTCCCTCTCCTCCTGCGGGCTCCCACTCAACCCAGTGCCCGCCTCTGGGCAGCTAGGGGTGGGGAGCAGGGATCCCAGGGACGGCTGTGCCCTGCTGTGGACGTGGGGTCAGGAGACCTGGCTTCCAACTCCAGATACCACTCACCCTCTCTGGGCCTGTTTCCCCCTCTGCACCTCCGAGCTTGGGCTGGAAGTGTGTGAGGGTGTGCCCCTTGCCAGAGGGAGAGGGGCTGCAGACAGGGGCCAGGCTTCCTCTCGGGTCACAGTGAGGTCCGAGGCGGGCTTCCTGGAGACACGGTGGGCCCTGACAACCAGAAGGTATGGAGCTGTAATTTTCTGAGCCAAAAGTGGGGCTCTGCTGCCAAGACCAGGGGCCCTCAGGGGTGTTGGGGAGGGTGATGGGGACAGCAGAGGGGAATTCCAGGAGCCGCTAGCCCTCCGAGCAGACCCCAGGCTCCAGGCTGCCTGCCTCATGTGCAGCAGCGGACATGGAGCCAAGAAAGGGGAATGTGTTTTCCTGCCTAAAAAGTAACCCCCTTTGAAGCCTGGGGAGAGAAAGTCACTGCTCTTCCAAAGCTCCGTCCCCGCAGAGGTGCAGGTCCGTGAGGAGGAGTTGCAGGTCAGCGGGGAGGGGGTCGCAGGCCCAGCCCCTGGCATCCTCCTGCCCACCCATGGGCTCTGAGGACCGGCTTACAGAGTGAGGACCCTCCTCACGGGGCTGCCGTAGCTCCAAACCGGCTCCCCGAGGTGGTGGGCAGCAGTGGGCACCTGGGCACAAGCCACTCCAGCACCGGGCCTGCCCCCTTCCCCCGTCCCCCCACATCCATTTTCACTAAAGTCTCAGAGTGCTTGGCAGCAGCATGAATGTGGACGCAGCCCACACGGGCGGTGACTCAACAGCAACGCCAGAATAAACCTGGGCCCGTGTCCTCGAGACTGCGTTCTCCCCTTATGGGGGGGGGTGCTCACCACCCAAGATACCCATCTGACCCATCCTGGTCTTCTTTAGGTACTTCCTACAGTGAGGGCATCGGCCACACTTGGCAGACCCTGAGGGCTGTGCCTCTGGGATGCAGCCGGACAGGAACGAGGTGGGAGGGACACACAGGATACAGCACGGGTTTCCCGGGGCAGACATCAGTGCCCCTTCTCTCCTGCCTGTCCCCGGGGGCCACCAGCCGTGCCAGACTCAGCACCTGCCCCCTCCTGCCTCCGGCAGCATCTGAGCCACGCTGCTCCCCTGTGAACTCACATCTCATTTGGGGTTTTGGAGGCCCCGGCCACTCTCACTTCCCTACGTTTCCCATCTACCAGCTGATGGCAGACAGGGGAGGCTCAGGGGCACCTGCGGGAGGGCAAGGAGACTTGGGTCAAGAGTCACCTGACGTGGCTTTTGGATCTTGATTCTTTTAACTCCGGAACCGTAGTCACGTGTCTTCCTGGGCCCGAGAGCCTCAGTTTCCCCGTTTGGGAAGGAAGAGGTCAGCCCATTCTGAGGTTCCTTCCAGATCTAAGAGTTCCTGGCTCCAATCACATGGCACACCCCCTCCAGGAGGCTCAGGAAGAGGGGAGGGAGAAGGGAGTCCGAGGGAGGTGGCAGGAGGCCCCACAGTAACTCTTGGCCCCAGCCCTAGGCATAGGTTACATTAGCCACCACCCCCAAGGACAGACCCAAACTCAACAGCTACATTTGAAAGGGAAGGTGGGACCGGGCTGGGCAGCGCTGACGGTGCAGGGCTACCCATTCGTTCCGAGATGGCAGAGGCGGAGGAGACACTGAAGCGACTTCAGAGCCAGAAGGGAGTGCAGGGAATCATGGTGGTGAACACAGAAGGCATTCCCATTAAGAGCACCCTGGACAACCCCACCACCACACAGTACGCCAACCTCATGCACAACTTCATCTTGAAGGCCCGGAGCGCCATGCGTGAAACTGACCCCCAGAAGGACCTGACTCTCCTTCGGATTCGCTCTGAGAAAAATGAAATTATGGTTGCACCAGACAGAGACTACTTCCTGATTGTGATTCAGAATCCAACTGAATAAGCCACTCTCTCTCAGCTCCACGCATCACTCCTTAATTTAAGGCCCCCAAGAACAAGAGTGTGAGTCATGTCAACCAGCTGGCAGGTGGAAACCACCTTCGATCCCCTGCGGGCCAGCCCAGGGGCCGGCGTGGCCGCAGCACCGCCCGCCCAGGCGCCCCTCTGCTGGCCGCAGCCTGACGCCCGGGAGGCCTCTTCCTCACCCTCCGAAAACGAGAGCTTGTGAGAGGCCCACACCCTGCTTCCTCCTGACGTTCAGTTCACTTTGTTTCCCTTGGAAAAGGCTGCTTTTCTTTAACTAAAAATAACTGAAACGTGAAAAAAAAAATAGATGATAGATAGATAAATAGATAAAATAAAAGGGAAGGTAGTTGCTGAAACCGGTTTGGCTCAATGGATAGAGCGTCGGCCTGCAGACTGAAGCGTCCTGGGTTCGATTCTGGCCAAGGGCATGTACCCTGATTGCCAAAGGCAGTTGATGGGTGTTTCTCTCTCATGGATGTTTCTAACTCTCTAACCCTCTCTTCCTCTCTGTAAAAAAAAAAAATCAAAAAAAAATCAATAAAGTATTTTTTAAGAATTATAAAGAAATAAAAATAAAAGGGAAGGTGGTGCCAACTAGAATGAGTGGACAGTGAACCCGACATAGGGTTAATCTGGGAAGGCTGGCCCCAAAACCAGGTGTACTCTTCACCCACTCAACTCACTTACTGGTGCCCAGTTCTCTCCGTTTTTACAGAGAAGGCAAAACTGTGAAAGGAGAAGGATTCTGCCCATCAGCACCCCAATCTCCACTGTGCCTCTAGTCAACCAACCCACCTCTACCCCTAAGCAACCCCTGATCTGCTCTGTCCCTACAGTTTTACCTTTCCCCAAATGTCATACACATGCAACCGTACAGGATGGAGCCTTCCGGGTCTGTGCCTTCCACTCCGTTTACTGCTCCTGTGATTCCTCCGTGTTGTCTGCATCAAGTTCACTCAACATACAAACTAGCATCCCACGGCATGGACGTACCAGGGTGTGTTTATCCAGGCACATTCAGATTGTTTCCAGTTTGGAAAATTATGAATAAAGCCACTATAGATATTTCTATTCAGGCTTTGATATGAACATAAGCTTTCATTTCTATTGGGTAAATATCTAGAAAGGGAATAGCTGGGTCATATGATTAGTGCACGTTTAACCTTTATACATACATACACACACACTCACACGTATATTTTACTGATTTCAGAGAGAAAGGGAGAGGGAGAGAGTTAGAAACATCAATGATGAGAATCATTGACTGGCTGCCTCCTGCACGCCCCACACTGGGGATTGAGCCTGCAAGCACAGGCATGTGCCCTTGACCGGAATTGAACCCGGGACCCTTCAGTCCGCAGGCTGACCCAAACAAGCCAGGGCACGGTTAACCTTTTAAAAAGATGCCAACCTAGAGACACGATTGTGGCTGCCAGGGGCTGGGCGTGGGGGGAGGATGGGGATGACTGTTAATGGGTCTGGGGTTTCTCCTGCAGTGGTAAAAAAACACTTTCTGGAATTAGACAGTGGCGATGATTGTACAGTCTTGTGAATACACTAAAACCAGTGAATACTTTAAAATGGTGAGTGTTACAGTGTAATTATATGCCAATGAAATAAATAATTTCCAAACTCTTCTCCAAAATTGGCCATACCACTTCACACTTCCACCAGCAGTGTATGAGAACCCCGGCCCAGGCCAGTTTGTTTATTTATTTATTTTTAGTTAAACAATGATTTTACTGCTCGAGTACATTTCCAATTGGGGGGCAGGACTCGTTTGGTCTTATAACATCGAGCCAACCGATGTACACGGCTCTCGATCAGAATCAGACGGAATTTAGCTTCCTTATCCTTTCTGTTCCTCTCAAGATGCTTTCGAACTGCAACAGCTTTCTTAATTAGGAAGACCGGGAGCAGGTCCTTCAGCCTTAAGAATTCTCAGGATCTTTTTAAAAAAAAACACACATATTTTATTGATTTTTCACAGAGAGGAAGAGAGAGGGACAGAGAGCTAGAAACATCGATCAGCTGCCCCCTGTACCCCCGTCCCCAAGGCACGCACCCAAGGCACACGCCCCTGACTGGAATTGAACCTGGGACCCTTCAGTCTGCAGGCCGACGCTCTATCCACTGAGCCAAACTGATTTCTGCAATTCTCAGGATCTTACTGCCTGTCACAAAACGTACTTGTGCAGTGCCACGCCCCTGCCAGTTTTAAAGGTGAGAAATCCCACAGCTCCTTCTGGGCTGGGAAGCATGAAGGAGCGAAGGCCTCGAGGCAGGACTGGGGGAGCCCTAACTACAGGCTTCTGGGCCTGAGCAGAAAGGTCTCTGAGTGGGGAGGGGTGTCAGAGTGGCGTGGGAAGTGACGTGACGCTGCCCTCCACAAAGTGTGGCCCTGGGACTCCTGGGCAGGGACACCTGACGGGCAATGTAAGTCTGGGCTGCAGCAGAGCCAGATGCCCATCGGCAGGGTGGGGTTCCTCATTCCTCTTCCTGCTCCTGGAGAAATGAAAGCATCCCCACTGGTCTAGGCCTCAAAGGGCCAAGACTAGAGGTCTGCTTGCCTATAAGCATCCCTCACCTGTTCCTCTCCCAGGAGGCCAGGGAGCTGGTGCCTCGGTGTCCTTCCAGCTCCCTTGTCATTAGGAGAGCTGGGCTGAACCTGTGCAACATCGGAGAAGTCCCCAAGGAGGGTGTGCATAAAGGCAAAACCCTTATGAGAGGAGAGGAATTCTGCCCTCACGCCTGCTCTCCATGTGAAGCATGGGTGTGAGGGCTGGAGGGGAGGCAGCCATCTCATAAGCATGAGGCACACGTAGGAGGACAAAATTCAAAACGCTAGATCAAAACCATGTGCTATCACTTCACACCTAACAGGGTTGCTATAATCAAAAAGATGGATAATGCCCAGTGTTGTCAAAGGCATGGGAAAACTGGAACCCTCGTTACACCGCTGGTGGGAATGTGAAATGGTGCATCCATTTTGGAAAGGAGTCTAGCGTTTCCTCAAAACGTTAAATTGTCATCACGACCCACCAGTTTTACTCCTAGGTATTCAGCCAAGAGAACTGACAGCACAGTTCACCCAAAACCTTTTCCACACGTATTTACAGAAGCATTATGCACAACAGCCAAAAGGTAGAAACGACCCAAATGTTTATCAACTGAGAAATGGATAAAACAAAAACAAAAATGTGGCATATCCATGAAGCAGGAAACTCTTCCGCCATGAAAACGAGTGAAATTCTGACGTGGTTGTGGGGGAAGAGGCGAGGGGGTGGGGGTGACCCCATGAGTCTGAATTTCTTCTTGGGGTGATGAAAACGCCCTGATATTACACAGTGGTGAATACTGCACAACTTTGTGAGTATATAAAAACACGATGAAGAATACTTAGAAGAAATTAATTTTAAAATAAACTAAAAACAAAACAAAGCAACATGCCAGGGAGGACAAGAACCCCTGAAGGCACCACTGTGCCCCAGCCAGCCTCAGACCACCCACCCCCGAGCTTTTTCTTGAGGAATAAATAAACCCCTTTGTTTAAGCTTCTGCAGTCAGGCTTTCTATTCCCGGGAGCCAAACACACTCCTAACTGAGGGACTCGTGCCCCCCCCCCCCCCCCCCGGCCGTCACCCAGTGAAACTAGAGGGGGCTCTGTATAGCGGGCAATACTCATCCTAGGCTGGTGGTCAGGACTCAGCTAAACGTCAAGTTATCCAGCACAGTCATGGCTGGTGGCCTACAAAATGCCACCCTATATGCGAGTACACACACGTGTGCACACACACACACACACAAGTGTGTGTCCACACAGCTCACAGGACTAACTGTTCGGAGGCTCCACACTTGTGTTCTTTCCGTGCACACCAGCTGCCCTTCAGAGCGGAAACCCCAAGGAGCTGTAGACAGGACACTCCCCCACCATCACCCCACCCCCACCTCTGGATGCCTGAGAGCCACAGCCAGCAGGGGCATCCCCCGGGGAAGACAGGGGGGAGCCAGCAGGAGTTGGTACAGAAGGATGGAGAAGCTCTTCACCCCTCCAAGGCCCCACCCAAATCCCCAACACCTGGCTCACTTCTAACTCACGTCATCAAGTTTGCCCACCCTGCCTACTCCTGGGTCCAAATCCCACCCACCTTCCAGGGTCAGGCAAAAAGTCGCCTCCTGCAGGCTGCCCTGAGCATGGGCTTATCTCACCTACCTGGAGGGCAGACTCTCCAAAAGCCAGGTGCAGGGCCCAGCCGTCTCATCATGATGCCCGATGACACACCAGGGGGCTGAAGGGTGGACAGGCCAAGGGTGCAAACCAGCTCTACCCTCGGGGCTGCCCCAGCTTGCCGAAGCAGAAACTGAAGCACAGCTTACCCCATCCTCTATGGGCAGATGGTGCTCCCCACAGGGGCAGGTGCTGGGGGAGCATGGGAAAAGATGGTGTCCAGTTCCCCTCTGGGGTCATCATGACATAGTAGAGGAAAATGCCCGTGGATGAAAAAGGGGTCCCAGCGAAGGTACCCTCACAGGTGACCTGATCACACACTCCTACTTGGGCAGGTCATGGTGGTTCATGGCACGTAACTTCTTAGTAAAAGGCTTATCTCTCTGCCTTGAGCAAGCCCTGTCCACTGCTTCTGTGCATCCAGGGTAGCACGTCTCCGAAATGCCCCCTTCCCGCCCCTTCTACAGGGGACCACCCTCCAGCAAACACACAACCTCATTAGCCATCCTAGAATCCAATTCCCATCTTGCTTTCTCTCTCCACCCTCCTGTAATCTTCCTATGTTCCCTCCTTAATATCAAATGCATAAAAGAAACTGCAAACTGGTATTCTCCAGAGCATTTGAGATTTTGCTCCCCGGCATATGTTATCAGTTTGGCTCAAATAAATGCTTATAAAAATTCCTTACAGGTCTGGCGGCTCCTCACGTTGACATACTCTTAACTGAAATGTCGGCCGGCTTCCCCCGCGTCCCCCCCACAACCGAATGTGCTGATCCTCCCAAGAACCCTGCTACGTTGGCATAACCGTCCTCATTTATCCAAATGAAACTCAAAAAGGCGAAGTCACTTGCCTGAGGCCAGACAGCAGGCTGGTAGTAGAACTGAGGCTTGAACCCTTGTCTGTCTGGCGTCAAAGGTCCTGGCGGTTCCGTGTCACCCGACTGCGAAGAGGGGAAGCCCCGAGGCAGCCAAAGGAACCCCCCAGGAGGGGCACTGGCTTCCCACCCAGGGCAACTAGGAGCATCTCCCTGTCTACCATGTGCTGAGAGCAGTGTCTGCGGGAGCAGCCGGCCC